TTTGAGCAGTTGCTAAGAAATGGTGCAAAATTTAGAGGAATAATTTCATTGAATTTACATAATTTACAGTGCAGACTCCATATAGCCCGAGCCAGGGACTTAGTCTCTGACCACTCCGATAACCCCCAGTGGTCAACCACTTGACCGATTTCGCCAATCTTCAAACTCGTTTCCTAACTTTGTCCAATATGCATATGGTAAAAATTTCAAGTCAATCGGTTCAGTCGTTTTGGCTCTATCGTGTTTTGGGACGGATGAACGGACGGAAATTATGACGGTTCCATAAGCCCTGACTCAGGCTAAAAAATTACCGGCGAGAAACTGACGTTGAAAGCGATCTAATTCCAGTAAATTATTCCTCTAAATAATGCACCATTTCTTAGCAACTGCTCAAAAATTCTTAAAAACGACGACCAGGGATATTGTTTTACGACCAACAGCCAGAATTATTTTTTGGCTTCCCGAATGATCACAATTGTGGTCATCGAAACGCCCCGCAGCAACGCCAAACATAGTTACCGTTTCTCCTCGGCTAAGGGTTAATGACGAAAGCCATACATACAGATATTCCACTTTGAAGACAAGTTTACTCTGGGAAGGTGGATGGATAATAATTAGTCCAAGCAGGTTAAGTAAATAAGTCTGGACATGCAAATTAATAATTGTCTCACAGTCCAGTCCAGTCCATGAGTTCACTTTTCGTCTCTTCAACTTAGCATAAATTTATGTACACTCCAGTAGTCAAACAATGTCATGGAGCCATTAGCGTACATAATTTTATGCAGGAAGTCGTCATCGTCGTCGTCATACTCGTCATCTCATCACTTGAGTATTCACTTCCTTCCTTCCGCTTCATTAAATCTTCACCTCCTCAACTCGTCATCGTTTTTAACCCGTGATTAAATTTTAGCATGTAACGATTCTCCTAATAGAATCTTACCTACAACAATGCATAATAGTCATGTGAGTACTTCAATTATGTCCATAGTGACGTTTTTCCTCTTGTGGAGAGGATTGCGGAAGGGGGCTCGTTCGTTGGTTTTATGCAACTCGATATTAAATGTTATGACTGGGTGCCATTGTTATTCTCGTGAATCGAATCACACACCAGCACTGCCAAAAAGTAAATGAGCCATGGCAAAATTAGCTATTAGGATATACAACGAGTGCACAATTAACAATATTTTTTGAGAGTGGAGTGGGTGCCGCGACAATAAGAAGGAGTTGCATGTAGGTATTAAGCACTATTAATAGTTGGTGGTTGGTATGGACCTCAAGCTCAGTATTATTATTTATTGTTGGCATTGTTGCATTGGTTGGTTGGTTGGTAGGTAGGTGTGTGTGGTGGTGGTGGTATTAGTACAAGGTCAGGGTCAGGGTGGTCTCCTCGCACTTGGGTGGAAGGCAATCAATAAAAAGTATGTACGGCCAAGTTTATACATAGGTTGTCGATAATATGTAAATACATAAGTATTCTTCTTCATGACATGTTTGACGAATTGGGATTTGGCACATGTAAACGTGAGATTTATTTGTGACGTGACGTGACGATTCGATGACATTAATACAGTTTTTGTTTGTTAAAAGTGTCAATAACAGGTAAACGTGCGAGGTGACATGATGGTTTCCTGACACTTTGTTTATTTTATAACGTATTTCGTACATAGAAATTGTCAATAATCAAAAATTTGTAATTATGGTAAAAAAACTTGACGTGAGTTTCGCCATTAAACATTATACGATTCGGATAATAGTTAATAAATCCTTTTGTAGGAATAGGATGCAAATATTGTAGACACAATGGACAATGAACGATAGGGTTGTATGTAATGATGGATGGCGTTTTTATAGTGTTTATTATTAATAAGGTATGTATGGATATATATAAGTCGAAAGTGCGACGTATTTATAAAATATACTAATAAAATCTTACTTGTGAGGTTTGGCATGCATGCTTTTTTATGATTTGATTCAATCCATGTGCATATAAGCACTATCGATGAAAGTAATGTGACGAGGTGTGCGTGCAGTTTCGCAATTGTCAAGTTCATGGTGAGACGATAATAAATTGCTGCATCTGAGTCTTCAATTAATCAAAAACTTAAACTAATTTTAAGTATATTTAAGTGAAGATACAGTGAAAATAAGTAAGCAAAATTAAGGGAACAAGCTATAGCATAAAATACAGTTGGTTGGCTGACTCCTGTTTAAACTTGAAGGTGAGACTACGATCCTGGGTCAAAAGGATAACTTTTGGCAGCTGCACGCTTCGTACGTGCTCCCAACTTTGTTGGATGTATTGGTTTAGTAACCAATCCATCCAAAAAATATACACACCTTTTCTTTCTACGCATTCCGGTTGAACACAAAAGTTATTAGTTTCCTTCCGGTGGTATGGTATCTCAGTGTTTGTGGGGTTTCTTACCCGTTGTGCATCTGCTTTATAAGTATTTTGTTCTCCCTGAAATCACACGTGCTAGGGCAGAACAAATTCTTGATTTTGATATAAGTATTTTGTGCCCACCACGACACACACCTGGACTTGCTTGGATTGGATTCGGTTCATTGTTTGCAATAATAATGATGATGGCAGAGTAATTTGACTCGATTTTATTTAACGAGCCTCACTCACACATATTTTTTAAGGCTAACGTTGATGACATGAGACGGCTGTTTTTTAGAGTTGTTCTCATTATTATACAGAAAATTTAGATGCTACATCTGCGTTATTGGATTACAATTATTCATCATGATTTTGTAGAGTTTTATTCATTTTGTTATACATTCAATCCAGATGCTATTTCAATCTGTTTAAAGACAGATGATGCTTCAAATTGGGGGCGACGATGACAATTTTGTCAATTTGTGGAGTGAGTGGAGGGATTCGATTGTATTGTTCGTTTCATTTTATGTTGCAAGGACCATCTGCCCGTCATCAGCGTCAGCCCCATTATTGCACGAGTTAAGATGGAGGAATGCACAGTAATTTAGTTAGCTGGCTGGACCCAAATCCTTCAATATATTTACGTACGTATATACGCACAACTCAAATCCTTTGTCTCTAATCGAGTGGCATCATAAAATGAAAATGTATTTGACGAAGGAAACGTACATATTTATTGATTTGATTGGCATTTGGTGGGTCTTGTTACTCGTCGTCGGTTGTTAGTTGGTGCTGATGGTGAGCGAGTTATTTATTAGTGACGTCTTTTGGAATTAGAGTGTAAGGTCGACGCAGCCAAGTAGTGAAACTGGGGTTCAATTGTTATCCACGTTTCGAGGCATTCTTTAACCCTGCCCTTGAGGGAGCGTTCACCCAGGAAATGTGCGTATGCAAATCGAGAGGACGAGTCGTTAAAGTTGTCAAGCGTACGTTTTGATCAGTACATTTTTCTGAAAGAGTGGAGAGGTTGACATCTCACTAAAAGTCTCAAATTCCCGAAAATTTCGTCGTGGTGTCAAAATCGTCTCGAAAGATTTCCCAATTGTGACAGAGCTGAAATGAAGTCATGTTTAGATTCAATAGGCGCTTTTATGGGGGCGTGAGTGGGGGTGTGTGTCGTGCCACTTAAAAATACAGGACTTGCTTTGAGGTACATACATTATTATGATTGTAAAATGTGAACGGCTCTGTTAGAGAGAGAGACACACATTAGTTTGTAGTTTCATGTAATTAACACGTCTTGTCTGACTTACTTTTACTACTGAATTACGGTGGGTTTGTGCTGATGTTGAAATTAATAGTGGGAGATAGTCCCGACAGGTGAGCAGCTCAGGTACATATGCACATACGTCGTAAATTGGGAGTAGATTCCCGTTAGATTTCGCAACATGAAAATATTTAAATTTATGAACCCTTTTAAGTCTGGAATTTGCTAAAAAATCTGGTCTGGAATTTTATTCTTCAACTCCTCAAAGCATAAAATTTATGGTTGAAGGGGTACCCAAAATCTTAGAGGACGCCGAAGCCGCAGTGGTCACTCATTGGTTAGGAATGTGGGTTAACTAGCTAAATCGTTGCGATAATCTCAGCCAGGAATATTTAAGAGATCGTAAAATAAAGTTGGGACAAGTAAATAGCTTAAATCTCTAACTGGCTGTCTCACCCACGACCAGTACTTAGATACCAAATGGCATCTTAAAAGTCGAAGTCATCATTAAGCAATAGGTTTTCTATTGCATGGACATAAGAAATAACACATTGCTCAATATTTACTCGCACTTACTTATGTATTTCACTTTATGACTAAGGACTAAAACCAAAAATTAACCATCCATCCATTCAGTATTTACAAGCATGTATTTGTACAATACTGTCGTAATGATAATTTGATGGCTGGTTGTGGTGTGTGATTCGTACTGCCGTCGTTAATACGGATACAGGGACATATTATTCACTGGTAATTACTCAGTGTCGTAATGGACACAAGAGTAACAAAAATAATGACAATGACGACGAATTGTTCGTCGTTCGTCGTCATCATTATCAGAGAAAAATTATTAATGATTTGTTATTGAAGAAAAGTGTCGTAGATTTTGTAAAAAGTATTGCATAATCGTATTCGTAATCATATTTTTGTCTCCCTTTGTTCCAATCGAGACTAACCTTGCCTACGTGATTTGGAGCATGTCCGGCGATTCTGTAGATCGGAATATGATTAGCATTTGTTAATGATTTCAATTTCGGTATCATTTTTATCACGGATGATGATGGCATCATGCGATTCCCTTGATTAGAGTTTGATTAAGGGGGAAGATGCGGAATCATGGTTAGGCATCGGATGGTAGATAAATTTTATTAATTATTGCGAACATACAGTTATCTAGATGGTAACAGGATTAGTTTAAGGTACTCATTAATTAACTAATTAATTCAGCCCGGTTTTAAGGAAGTCGCGTTAGTTTAGTTCCTAGTCGGTGTTTTGACCTAGATATTAAAAAAAACATCCTGATATAGAAAAAAATTGTACTAATTTATACCATTTTTTTGAAATTTTCAGAAATTTTTGACAAGTATGAAAATTTCTCGAAGAATTAATAGAGACCTTCTCCAAGTGAATTGAACAAGATGACGGTCACCGGAATGGATCTGCGCCCAGGCTCATCCGCCGAAAGTGGTGGGGGTGGTTTCTCACAGAATAATTTAAATCGATCCTCCCACACGAGAACGCACAGTCATCCGCTCCCCTTAATTTCCGGTTTTAGTCAAATATGTCCCGATCAACCGCCACAACAACCCATCTCCTCAACCCCACTCACGGATGCCTTAAATCTCGACTTTGTCAATATTCCCTCCGCCCCAGGATCCATTCCTGCCTCCGCCATGGAGAAGTATTTAGTCGGCAATAATAATACAGCCCAAGAAATTAGCGACATTTTAGTTGACCTCGACCTAGAATGCAGCAGTACTAATAGTAAATCTTGTGCGTCCGAAGTTGTAAAAGTACTCGATAATTTTAACACTTTGTTAGAACAAATTGACGATAATATGACACCAATGACGACATCACCACAAAAGTTCGTCTCTCCAACGAATTCTTCTGCGGGGCCGTCTTCCGCATCGAAAATAAAATCAAGCGTGGAAGCATTCGCAGATTTACTGCTGCGTGGCGAAAATGAGGATGAAGATCTCTTAATCGTGGAAGTAGAGCTTCCCGAGGGTAGTGGTCCCCCCGATTTGGAAAACGGTGGTGACGACGACATTGAAGACATGCTTGACGACCAGGAGGAGGGTCAAGAAGATGCCGAAGCGGACGACCAGCTCTGTTCTTTACAGGGAGACGAAGAAGACTTGGACTTGGAAGGGTATGAAAGTGATCGACCCATGGTGCGTGCCTCCATGAGAAAACTAAGACCGATTAAAGTTAAGCTTAAACCCGTCCCGGAACATTTCGGTACCGGAAGTGGGTCGGAGTCATCCAGTGAAAATAGCAGTGATCAACTATGTGTCGTGGTTGTTGTCGGTGGTGGTGACAGTGCAGCACAAAGTACTAGTGAGGGAGTTGTAACAATGGAGTCAGGAGTAATATCAGAGGGTTTGAGGGGAACTAGTCCGACTCGTCAAGGGACGAGTGCGAATTCTAATACCACTGGAGGCATAGCGTCATCATCCGAAGATGCAGTGACATCGACCCCATTGCTGGGAACGAGTAGCTGCTCAAGTACCAATACTACTGGGTAAGAGAAGAATTTAAGTCTTTTTTGAAATGTAAAGATGATTAGCAATTTAGCATCGAAACTTTTGGCGTGCAAAATTTCGCCAAGAACGTTTCCCCACAAATGGCAAAATCATCATGATTATCAATTCCATACACCACCACCACCAAACCAGAGATACTATTTGTTTAACAAATCTCTCATTCTTTTCCAAAACATTCCACAAATTTTTCACAGTAAATGCAAACGTTAAGTACCCTATAGCATTGTCACTTGATTGTGCGGTGCAGTGGTGCGATTGAGGTGAAGGTGTCAAAAAATCCACCACCACCAACTCTTTTTTTATACATTTGTTCCTTTATTTATTGCTCTATGAGTCAGCATCAAAGGAAGAATAGTGGTCACCCTTGACCTGACCACGTACGTATAGCGACCACAAAATACTAGCAGACCACCCTCCCTCCCATCATAGCGCACCACCAGCCAGCCAAAGATCATTACATAAATCTATCTATTTACCAAACTAAATGCAGATCTCCTTCTTCCTTCCTCTTTCAATTCGTTCGTGTCAACTTTTTTCCAACTTCCACCTTCGTCATCGTTGCCAATTGCCTTAATTTCAATATCTGCATCATATTGTAGCATCATATTGTGCATCCAGGTCAAGTTCAGTTTTATACGTCGAGAGGGTTCCTACAATTCGTCATCATGTATTTATTTATGGCGTCCTTACCGCATTTTCGTCATTTTTTCCACCAAGGCAAGGCTCCCCTTCCTTATTCCTTGTGCACTTTACCACTGCTGAGCCTTCTCATTCATTTGAAATGAATATGTAAGGGTTCACGCTTCATTCAGTTAATGGTTCCAAGCAAAAGAACGCCTACGCAGAGTTTTTATTGCTCAATTTTATTGAGCTTGTTTTATTTTGAAGCCATTCTTTAAGTTGCACTTGAAGTTGAAGTTCGTTAAATTGCGGTTTAATTGTTGTGTGCAGTTTTTAATTGTTAAGCGCCCAGAGTCGTGAATAATTGTGGAGTTTTTCATTTACGACAATTTGTGCATAAAACGTGATAATGAGGATTTCACAACTTCTTTTACAAATCGAGCTCATTTTGGAGAACTTGGACAATTTTTTTGTCTATGTGAAACGCTTCGCTCCGTTTGTGATGTCGTCATGAGGTGAAAATTACTAGTGGGGGGACATGGTGGATCGTAAGTTAGTAAGGTTTTGGGTGGATGATTAGTGGAATGTTTGGTGAAAACGATGACCAAATTTTTGTCAAAGGGTACCAAAATTAAAGCAAGAAATGACCTTGAGTACTAAATATTCAAAATAAATTGTTCTTATCTTCATAAACTTCTTATCTAACAGAGGTGCCTCCAGTTCGTCATCTTCCTCCTCCTCCTCCTCCTCGCCGTCGTCGGTTTCACCAGAATCTCAGCAGTCAGCCTTATTACCATCGGCGGCCTCTTCCACAAATAATGCAACGACCAGCACCGCCACAGGATCGTCGTCCTCGTCGCCAACCCCACCATCATCGGGAACGACTACGTCCTTATCACCCCCACCACCCACGGCGAGACGAAGATTGGGTGGCACGTTGGGAAGTGTGCCCGCAAGTCGATGGCCGCATCGGCTGTCCTCCGTCCTCGCACTGATTGGGTGCACTCTAGGACTGAATAACGTTTGCAGGTAGGAAATTAAAAATAAATATGTATTTGGAAATTTTGATCTTAATTTCTGAAATTTTTCTGCCTAGATTTGGACTCCTCTCAGTCAACTATGGAGCGAACTTTGTCGTGCAATGGGTCATATTGTCGTTCGTGCTGGGTGTGCCACTCCTCACCTTCCACATGTCGCTGGGTCAATATCTCCATGCCGGAATTGTAGGGATGTGGAAAATATCCCCGATTTTTCAGGGGATTGGGGTCGGACTTTTATTTTCCCAGGCGTTGGTCGGCCTCTACTCGACGGTTGGGGTGTCCTGGATGCTTATCTATTTTAGGGATTCGTTCATTACTCGGGGGGATCAGTACCGGTGGGGGAAATGCGTGAGGGAATTTAGGGGTGAGTTAAACACGAAGTTATACTAAAAAGTTTAACAAATTTTACTCAACGATTGTTTGGCGCAGAATGTGATCCATATCAGTCACAAAATCAGACGGATTTTGCAGATACGGTTCCTGACTATTTCAGGTAAATTCTACTTTGCTGCGAGGGCATGAATTTATTTGAAGTATTTGTTAATAATTTCTTAATTTTTAGTGGGGTCGTACTGCAACGCGCAAGTCCGGACTATCCACACTCAGTTTATGTGCCAAACAGCCTCAAATTCACAGTTGCTTTTAACCTAGCCGTTGTCTGGATGCTTATCTTTGTCTCGCTGTCGAAAGGTTCGGTTGTAACCTATTACGTAAATTATGGTGCTATGTTAATTTCAAAATTACGATTTTGCTCCTTATACTATTAGGGTTGAAATCGTATGGAAAAGTGGTCCACGGTTTCGTCTTAGCTCCAGTTGCAGCCCTTTTCGTCCTAACTTTCAAAATGGTGGGATTAGTGGACAATACTTCATCACTGTTCGGACAAACGGCCTGGGTCGACTTTTTCTTTAACACGCAGGTGCATACATAAATACATAATTATGTCGTAATTTAATTTAAAAATGATTAAATTAACCAAATTTTTATCGTCAGACGTGGGTCGTCGCTGCACGCGAAGTTTTCTTCACCTGGGGTCTCTTGGGGGCTTGCGTCATGCAAGTCACCTCCCACAACAGACACGCCCACCCGCTCAAGTCTGACGCCGTAATCGTCGTCCTCGTCACCACGGTGGTCCTTTTACTCTCCGCCTTTGTCGGAAATAGTTGCCTTTCTATCATTTCCGCGGCGACGCCAAGTACTGCGACAACCCTTTTGCAGCGGTACTCGTATATCCCGTCGTCATTTGAGAGCGAACGGACGTACAAGTTCCTCTCTGTGGGAGGTGGGAGTAACAAACCAGAGGTAATCAATGTTTAACATATTTTTGAAATTCTAAAACTGTTCTAAAAAAATTCGCAAAAATTTGGTTATATAGGATGCCTCCTTGTTTCCACTCTCGTCATCCAACCTGCACCACAACCCGCTTCTGATGGGGGTGCGAATCCTCCGAATGGACGGAAAAGCTGGCAGTGACCCGACCGCGAGTGGATATCAAGTTCTCCGCTTGGCGACGGAACTATTTCCCACGGCGATGGCGGTGTTAAGTTCGACGGGATTGTCCCCTTTTTGGACGGTTCTCTTCTACTTTACGCTCGTCCTTTTCGGTTTGGCGCAACAAGTACGGTTATCAAATTTTAACTAATAGTTCTGATAAAAGAAAACAATTTTCTAATGTATTAATTTGAATATTTTTTAGCTTGCGATTTGGCACACTGTCATTAAAGGAGTGATCGCCATCAAGTACAAAATGCTCAAAAGTTGGGAAACGACTATTACTTTTTTCGTGTGCGCGATGGGATTTGCTCTCGGACTTCCGCTGTGTACAGAGGTGAATTTTTTAGTGGACTGTAAAAAAAATTTGAAATTTTTGAGGACATAATTTTATAATGATTTATGTATTTTTTTATAGACTGGGGTTTTCGTAACTTATTTTCTCGACTTCACGGTCGGATCTGGCTGGTGGATCATGATTCTCTACTTGCTAGAGTTGGTGGCAGTGTTCATCGTTCGAGGTGCGCCATACTGTGGGGAGAACATTGTCACCGTTCTGCTGACTGGACCGGGAAGGATCGCCAAGTTTCTGGCACCATTAGTTTCATTTATTTGGAATGTCATCATGCCTGTTGCGCTGCTGGTGGGTGCATAATTTGCAAAATAATTTAGAAAATGAGTATCACACCTAAATAAGCATTTTTTTCTAGGTCTTGTCAATCGCTTCCTTCAAAAGTGGCAACATCCGCGAACTCTACGACTGGAATCCAAACCGAGGATACATTTTTTGGCCAAGTTGGACCCGAGAAGTGGGATCGCTGATACAACTCTTGCCAATTTTAGCTGTACCATTTGTCGCTATTGTGCAGAGTTGTCGATATCTGACGAATGGATCTTCCGATATCTTTGAGGTGCAGTTTTTTTTATTCAAATAGGCAATTTCTTTATCACTAATTCTTATTAATTATGCAGAGATTGCAACAATTGTACCGTCCCAGTACTCGGTTAAGATTTGGAAGTGCGAACTCAGAATCCAGAAGAGAACGGTCTACCACAGGTCGAAGTGAAGATCCGCCCCCCAAATATACCCCACCGCCGTCATATTCAACTGCCACCGGTGCCAAGTAAGTGTACAAGCAAATCTGCATCCTAAAATAACGATGATTGAATTCAAATTTAAATATTTGTACTCCACAGAATTGCACGCTTCCTCCGGAACAGTATTCGTCGCAGTATGCGCCGCATCACTACAAATCCCAACGGTCCATCAACCTCCAACTCAGATCCCAACCTGCCTCCCCCACCCGCCTATGCGTCCGTCATTCTCGAAATTAATAACCAATCTTCACAAGGGTCGACTTCCTCCTCGTCGTCCTCGTCCTCAATTCCACCTCCACTCTACTCTGAAGCGACGGCAGGAACGTCTCGCCAAGGGACAAAGGACATCACAATTATTTCCGGTTTCCGCACAAAGGTCCCTCTCAGCCACACCCTGTCTTCCGACTTTAGCCGGAAAGAGCGACCTTCCGTGAGAAGGATTAGTTCCGAAATCAATTCGAGAGACATCGCCCGAATGTTAAGCTTGCGGTCGGGCGTTGATAACAACAATGGTGTTGACGGTGGTGGTGGTGGTGTCATTATCGATCATCAACTTCCAGGAACGTCAACAGCCCCGCCCTACACTTTTAGTCACTCTTCCCTCGAAAAAATTGACTATGACCTCGATTTCCTGAACCATTTGGAGCTTGGGTGTGATCCTGATGCACGACCGACCTTTGACCTTTTAAGTTTCAACAGGAGTCGAAACAGGAACAGTAACGATTCACAACTCGCCTTAATTAGTGATGGTTTCCTCTACGATAATTCAAATGGGGGTGGTGGGAGCAGAAGCAGTAGTCGTGTCGAGCTAGATATCGATATGAGACTGGGCTTCCAAAATCCTGAAAGACATTCCGAGGCTTAACTACAATTAAGTTTAATTATTTCAATTCAATTAAGGCAATAGTTGATAAATGTTGTTCAAATTGTTGCCTTATTTAAAACTAATTACTGAGAACTACAACAAAAATATGCCATATTTACAGAAACGTTCCACTTTTTCAGTGTACCGTTTCTCCATGCAAATGAATGAACCTGTGTGAATGCAATTTTTGTGCGTGGTATAAAAAGAAAGTTGTGATTTTTTGTTTGTCTCTACTCCTCACTATTATGCAGATTTTTCTTTTACATATATTTAAATAATGTTACCAATACATAAAATGCTACGTAAATAGTCATTTCATTTCCTAATTTTATTTTATTTAGTTAATTCATGTAAAGATTAATAGAGAGAACTGATTTATACCCGAAAACAATTTATGGCTGAAATGTGTCGACTAAAAATATGATGAAGATTTCGAGAATAAAATGTTGATTACAGAATTTGAGAGTAGATTTCTGAAAAAAAATGATGAACGAATTTATACCGATAGATTATATTTTATTTTCTGCCGTGTCCTTGTCCCACTGATTTTGGTCGATTATACATCGGAGATCGATCCGGTTTCGGGGGAATTTTAGCATCTGGGATGGCGTTATCTTCATACTCGTACTTATCGAGGCCTTGGTCGATACTCCAAATCATGGTGCCTCGCAGGCAGTTCTTCTTGGCCCAGGAACGTTTAAAGGCGAGCGTCTCCTCGTCATCATACCCGACCCATTGGTCCTGCAATTACGATAAGGAGACAATTAGGGTTAGATTAATATATTATGTGCTTAAATTTAATGGAGGTCATACCTTATCGAAAACAAGAATCTTGGACATTGACTTTTTATCAGTGATCGACTTTGCCCCCTTGGTCTTTATGATGTCAACAATTTCGAACCAGCCCAGCGTTCCTGCATCGATTAAATAAAATTAGTCCGCAATTTACAAGATTGCACGTGTTAGAAAGTACTTAAAAATCTCATTACCTGGAGCATCAGTGCACTCTCCGCCCTTCGCAGCCCCACTGAATTCACATCCGATCTTTTTGCAAGAGGGTGTTTTCAGAGTGAAAGCTCTCCCATAGTAGCCAAGACCTTGAACAAATGTGACAATTTAATTGGACTTAGAATTTAATTAAAGATTCAATTAATGAATTTACCCAGGACAAGTTTTTCATCGGGAACGCCATCCTTTCTGAAAAGCCCGATGGCTGGTTCAATTTCAGAAATGTCAGTGTGTGGCTTAACATATGGGCCGAGCGACTCAATGTCCTTATCCCAGGTCCCGTGAATATCGTAAGTCATGACCTTTAATTATGACCTTGAATTATTTAAAGTATTTTATAGTAACGTAATGTAAAGTATGGAGGTGATCATCGTTGCGGGAGAGAGTCAGCCCATGATCAGTAGAGATATGCATGACTTTATAATATATGTATAAACGCCATATGACCTTTAATTAAAGGTCATATGACCTATTTTACGTACGAAGCATTTTTGGAAGCATTTATTTTCCTGGTGATTAAGAACTAAGTACTTACATTAACCCAGTCGAGATATTCTGACATTTCTGCAATCTTGAAGTGCCTCAAGTACCAATAACTCGCTGGGGCTGCAATGGTTATTAAATATTTCGACTTGAACGCCGCCCTCATCTCTTTGATGAGGTCCAAATAGTTATCTTTGTCCTCCGGAGAACCCCCACGGTCATCTGCCACGGGATACTCCCAGTCGACGTCTACGCCGTCAAAACCATACTCCTAGATAACCCAAATCTTTACTAATCTATTGATAACAACCAGGTAGTTATCATGGCTTACATACTTTCATGAATTTGAGGACAGACTGAATAAATTTCTTCCTGCTTTTCGGGGTTTCTGCAATATTGTGAAATTCCTGCTGTGTTTCCCCAGGGTCATTAAACGCCCAACCTCCAATTGACGCCAACACTTTCAAACTTGGGTTGAAATCCTTGAGTCCGGAAAAGTTTCGCATCGCCGAGTCCTCTTGGACGCTCGGTGGAGCAATGACACCGTTACTCACGTCGACGAAGGCGTAGTTGAGATGGGTGTAGAGATCAGGGTCAATATTATCAACGGTGTATTGGTTGCACTTCCGGGTGGCAGCCCAGGACGCGTAGTAGCCGATGTTGACGGGGGAGGAGGAGGAACCTCGAGAAGAGCAGGAGGGGGCTGGCGGATCGTCACAATTTCCCTGGCATTCTTTCTTGCAAAATTCTTCCGTTGTGCCGCAGAAACCCCATTTCGAGCAGCACACTGGTGGATAAGTTAAAATTGTTGAATGGAAAACATAAATAGAGCGATTTCAATGACGCCATATTTCGCACACTCATACATAGAATTTAATTTTGAAGAAAATGAAGTTTAAATATTCAAATAAAGAATTATAATTATTGCAAATAAAAATCTACATTAGTTTATTGATTTGTAACCTTTAAGGGGACAGTCAAAGTCCAATGCCCATTTGCCACACTCTGGTTTCGCATCGCAATTATTTTGGCACCCATCCCCACAAAAGTCTGGTCCGTAACCGCAGTTGCCCCATTTGCTGCAACAAGCGTCCGTCCCGCAAGGCTTATCTTTGGAGCAGGCTTGACCTCTGACCTCTGTGAGACAGACTGAGGCAAGAAGTAAGATCAAGGGATAATAATCGCTTATCCCCATGTTTGCTTATCTAAATTAGAAAAAAATGTCACACTTTTTTCAACACTTTCGAAACAAACCAGACAGACACCGCCACCATCGATTCGTTAACTAATCGCAAATTGTGTTTTATATGACGATAAAATCTGGATAAAAATCTGCACGAAACAATTGCCCCAGTTAATTAAGACCAATTCGGATGCACTCACACCTCATTTATTATTTACCCAGCCCCTATTTTATGCTAAGCAGGAATTGTTGTCCGTTCCATAATGTGCAAAAAATAAGTGCATTTTCGCAAACACAGATATATAATTTTTTGCAAATTAACAATCTATGTTGTGCATCACACGCATGCAAATGCATAATTCATAAATAATTCTTTGCAAAAAATACTCCAAGCGTCATGATTTTATTCACGTTTGTATTTATTCCGTTCAATTTATGTTACAACTTTCTCCCATTTTTTTTAACAATTTCAATATTTTCTTCTTTTGGATGAGAAAAACAGACATAAAATTTAAATATGTATACGTATGCACATATATTGTGGAAGATTTGGTTTCTCATTTATATAACTTTCACTTTAACTTTAATTAATTAAATTGATATATAATGATCAAAATTTCCAGTTCTTCAATAACTAACTAACTAACTAATTAACTATTCACAATACAGAGACAAACAGCTAAATTTATTTATTATAATTATAATATTGACTTTTGTTGAGTATTGCATTTGTTTCCAGTTTTGCGTATTTTATTTTTCCGAGCATAATTTCAACCAGGTAGATTTTTTATGTATTACTATGCAGGGTGGAGGCTATCTTTTTCCGGCTTATCTGAAAATCTCCCCTCGTTTACCCGGGTACGTAAGAGGTTTGCGGGATTTGAAAGCCGTCGGGGAGTTGAGGGAGGAGGGAGGCGTAGCGAACCTCGACCTCTGCTCTGAACTTGGCCGTGGTGGCCATGGCGGTGAGCGAGGAGGCGAGTGGGAGGAGGATCGTGGCCTGCTTGGCGATTTCCGCGTTCGTCAACTCGTCAAAGGCGAGGAGGGAGAAGACCATGAGGCGCAGGGAGAGGCCGAGCAGGAGCAGAATGAAGCGCAAAAAGGTCAACGCGCACCAGAGGGAACACACCTTGATGGCAGATTTTAAGGGACGCCTCTCAGTCACCTGGAGTTAAAAAATAGCTGGTATCAATCATTGAATAATGGACATAAAATCGGTTGATTGGTTGTTGAAGACATAAAATGGATAATATGCGCCCCATTTCTCTAAGGTTCTCCCACTATGTAAATTTTTCGGTTTGAAAACAGTACATACTTCGGATTATAAATTTTGTGACAAAATTTCCTTTCATTTTCTAAAGAAATTGCATGCAGGTAAATCTTTACGTTTATTACATTGTATGAATGTGTATGTAGGTATTTGTATTTGTATGGCGTCAATGAAGATTATTTCGGAATTTGTGTGGTGAGTGGAAGATTAGATAACTTTTGGAAAAATACATAGTCAGTGATAAACAGTTTCAATTCAAAAATTTACCTGAGGCGTAAGCTGACAAGGCCCGATGAGCACTCGAATCCCCGTAATTAGAATAAGTAACGCTACAAAGAGTCCCAGCAGGGAGATCGCGTGACCCACCACGCTCCAAAAGTCGAGCTCCCCAATCAACTCGAGCACATCTTGGTGACCTGTCGAGATTGAAATGACTCCGTCGCCCCCACTCCCATGCCCACCTCGAAACTCTCTCAACTTCCCCATCCGCTTCAAATAGTGGAAGACATCCCAGCCAATCACGACCACGATGGCGACTCCCTCCACGACCATCTCCCCCAGCACGGTCAGACGGCAGGAGAAACGATGGGCGAAATTGTACGAGGACATGACAGACAATTACACTATTTTTTAGTATTAAATATTTACTAAGGCCACGTTTTGAGTAGAGTAATAATGCAGCGACGTTATTGTTGTTGGCAGTGGTGAGTTTGACGTCAATGGGGGAGCAGGGGTTCCCATTTTTCGGAAAAATTAACAGCAATTCGCTGTACGGGAAGAGAAAGTGGATTAGAGAAAGTGAGAGAAAGTTATAGTTCGAGCCAAAAAGTGAAAGCACTATGCGAGAGTGGTGACTTTCGTGTAGAAAATGAGTAAAAAAAATGCACAAGGATCCGGATGTTATAAAGAGAGAGAGAAAGAGGAAAGTTGCAACATACTGCTGAAAGTGAGCATCCAGTTTACTTAGCGTTTCATTCTTTGCTTTGCTTACTTAGCTTTCTCTCCCTCTTTGCAGAGAGGAGGAATAAGGGAAATATGATGAAGTTGGTGAATGGCATGACCTACTTCATTACTTACTTCTCCTCGTGCAAGTTCTTTCGCCACCACTTTTTTGTCTACACGGCAGAAACAAAGAACAAACAGAACACAGTGAAATGTAAAATGTAATCAATATGTAGATACATACATAGATGCTGGACTGAACTTACGCAATTTTACAAAGTAAATTAATAGGGCTGGATTTTATTTTAGATACAAAATACACTGTAAAATGCATTTCAGTATTACAAAGTTGGTGTTAATTGTTACTCAAAACAATATACCTTTTAAACTCTAAAATTATTTAATAGTAGAACATATAACCATAATAAAATAGAACAGATTACATGATGGGCGCGTCCAAATCGTGCAAGTTTTCTTTAATGGCATGAATACTATTCTTCCAGCGGAACAAGGTATCGCGAATTTGAATCCAATGTGCTTTCGTGATGGCTCTTTTTACAGCGTATTGTACAATGACGCGTTGGTTAGCTTGTTCAATCCGAGCGGTGAGAAGTTTAGTTTTCAGGGCGTCGATAATGAATCGCTCAACCTGGACAAATGCATTTAAAATGTTTAATTACAAATTGTAATTTACAATGATCATTATTGCACATTATGATAATTAATTAGCTACCTCATCTGCCCCCAACTGTAACTCTTTCTGGATTTGCAAGAAGGAGACTTCTGGACTCTTCTCAGCCATTGAGATGAGGGTCAGGATCCTCATCTTTTTCGTCATCTGGGTATGATCCAGGTTCATTTTCTGCATAAATTCCTTGTGCCCAGCGTAAAACTTCATGTATTCACTCAGCCCGTCGTACACGGCGACCATGAGAAGGTCATGGATGGGATTTCCTTAAAATTAATTGGATAATATTAAGCCCACATTACTTCAATAATTAATTCTACCGAAATTTTAATTAACTAATTACCTTCCAAAAACTTGACTGGTTTCAACGGAAGTAAATGATCCAACAGATAAATATTTGGGTCCGCAAGTGAGGCGAGGATACATCTCTGAGCGTCCTCTCTTGCTTGAGACGCGTTTTCCATCGTGTACGTCGCCAATAAGTCAAGCATCACTTTATAAGCGTCGTCACTCATTTTGGAATTAGTCAACGAGGTGTGCAGGAGGCGATAGAGTTTCTACAAAATAAAAAACCGACATTATAATAAAAATAATTAATAATTTGACAGAAAAAGTCATTATTTTTCAAAATTTCAATAAAATGCAAGATATCATTATCCTGACGAATGATTATCAGCATATTGCATATCGCATTCGCACCTGTAATTGTTCGGCCGTGGGTGGCCTGGCGGAAAAGGTCTTCTTGAGTTGGTTCGTGTTGGAGAAGACCGAGGCCATCTGACCCACCTTGCCGGCCACCTCGACCATGTGGTAGTAAACGTGGTAGCGCATCGCGGACCGTTCGCTGAGTGAGAAGAACAACAGTCGCAAAACTTTGAGGGCGATGAGGCCGTGCTTCACATCCGGTTCCCAGGCCGTCGCTAGCTTTTCACAAAACGCCAACACAAGGCCGTCCGAGGCTTCTGTCTCCACGATGATGACGACAGATACGATTCCGTTCAGGACAGACTCGATATCAATTTCGGAACCTTTTTGAAACACGACATCGGAGACCTAAACAAAATAAAATTGAGGTTTATATATTAACGGAATCAATAATTAATATTTGTGTAATTTCTCACTTGAATGATTTTATGCAAGTCGTCCTCCATCCCTTTCGGAGACGGCTGTTCGGAAATTTCGGCCCCCAAAGATTTCATATATTGTCGCAGCTCTTGACATTGTTCTTGCGGAGAACAGGCGATAAATGAGGTTAGTTCGGCTTCCATCTAATCAAACATCATATAAATTTTACAGTTACACACTTGAAATTATGAACCGGTTTTTAAACTGCTACATTTAATTTTTTTAATTGCGAATTGACATATTCAATGTTAATATGTTTAAATAAGCAAGAGAAAGTACACTTTCAAAAATCTCTTAATTTATGCTTAATTTACTCTACACACAAAATTATTCCAATTCACCACCTCTTTACCTTAAATTTCCAAGTGGGTGTAGCAGCTTATTTCCAGTATTTTGTTGAAAATTTTGAAAAATTTTGAACAATTTTAACAGCACCTTCTTCACCTCGCCGGCTGCTTGGTTTGTAGTAGCAGTGGAAGTGATGGTTTGAGCAGGAAATTCAAATCAGTCCCCTGTTTACACGTGCTTTCAAGCTTCACTATTCACTACTTTCAATAAGAAGAATAAGAAAAGTTTTAATTTTAAAGAAAAATTGCTTAAAATTTTGACTGCATTTTTTGACAATTAAAAATTTATCTTCTGTAAAAACTTGACTTTACGACTCACGAGTGAACCAGCCTTTGGAATAGATTAAGTAATCAGGAATAATAAAGTGAGAGGTGAGTATTGGAAATATATTAATTATGTATGTATTAAATTTTTGTAATTTGTTAAATTATTGTGAATTCAACAATTTACAATTTTTATTAAAAACTTATTATAGTGATCATGGACGAAGGAGAAAATAAGTACGAGCACAAACCCAAGTTTTCGGGTAACGGAATGTCAAAAAATAGTCGAATTAAAGCGTCCCTCTTCAGAGATAAGAGGAAAGGAGGTGGAGGAAGGAAAGGGAAACCCAAAAAGATTGAGGATGAAGGACAAGAAGTCAAGCGGCTTAAAAATCTTATTGAAAAGAATCAGGTGTGTTTACATTCTTACGCATATGTTAAATATGTTACATGTAATTCGGGTGTCGCGATGGACTTAAATTAATAATTAATGAATTTGTAATTATGTTAGATGCCAGAACCCAGCAGTCTCAAACGATTCCAAGACCTCCCCATCTCCCGAAAGACTGTGTGGGGGCTGAAAGAATCCGGATATGCAAAACCTACCGAAGTGCAGAGAGAAAGTATCGGCCTAGCGCTCAGAGGGCTGGACATTCTCGGTGCGGCGAAAACAGGGTCAGGAAAAACTTTGGCGTTTGTCATTCCCGTCTTGGAGAAACTCTACACGTCCCTTTGGTCGGAGACTGACGGTCTGGGCGCAATAATCATCACTCCGACGAGAGAACTCGCCTACCAAATATTTGAAACATTACGCAACGTGGGGAGAAAGCATGACTTTTCGGCCGGACTTATCATTGGGGGGAAGGATTTGAAGTTCGAACGAAAGAGGGTCGACCAGTTGAACATCATTATCTGCACACCGGGCCGTCTTCTACAACACATGGACGAAAATCCAAACTTTGACTGCTCAAATGTTGAAATTCTCGTCTTGGATGAGGCAGATCGGTGCTTAGATTTGGGTTTCGAGCAAGATATGAACGCAATTATTGAAAATTTACCGGCAAAGCGGCAGACACTACTGTTCTCGGCGACGCAGACAAAGTAAAACAATTTTATTTGTTTGATATCTATTTGCATTAAAAACTGACAATGGGGATAATTTTCATGCGTTGATAAATTACTATGTTTTTTAGATCTGTGAAAGACTTGGCCAGGCTCAGTCTCCGTTCTCCGGTGTATATTTCTGTCCATGAAAATGCCGAGCATGCCACCCCCACAGCGTTACAGCAGAGTTATGTCGTGTGTCCGCTTGATGTAAAATTGGATATGATCTGGTCTTTTATAAAGCATCACAAGAAGAAAAAGGTTCTCGTCTTTTTGTCGAGTTGTAAACAGGTTAGTGACAATTATTGCAAATTAATTTGCTAAATTTTACTAATTCCGTGTCTTTGTTTTCAGGTTCGATTTGTCCACCTCCTGTTCTGTCGGATGCGACCCGGCACGTCCGTCCTCGCTTTATACGGATCTCTCCACCAACTCAAACGGATGTCGGTTTATGACGAGTTCTCCAAGAAACAAGCGGCTGTTTTATTTGCCACAGATATTGCGGCACGAGGCCTCGATTTTCCCGGAGTGGACTGGGTCGTCCAACTTGATTGTCCTGAGGATTCAACAACCTACATTCATCGGGCAGGAAGGACAGCCCGGTATAACAAGGGAGGTGAAAGCTTGCTTGTTGTCCTCCCTTCTGAAGAAGAAGCAATGGTGGACTCGTTGACGAGAAAGAAGATCCCGATCCAAAAAATTGAAGTGAATCAAACCAAGTTTGTCTCCGTGAGAAGAAAATTCGAGTCTCTTTTGGCACGTGATATCAATCTCAAGGAGTGTGCACAACGAGCATTTAAGTCGTATCTCAAAGCAGTATGGTTAATGAAAGATAAGGCCGTATTTGATGTGACTGCGTTAGATTTGGACGCGTTTGCGAGGTGGGTATTCCAATTTCATAATTAATTTGCTAAGTTATGTTTTATTTAAAAAATAAATCAAATAAATGTATTGTATATTTGTGTAGCTCGCTTGGTCTCGCGGTCGCTCCGAGGGTCCGATTCCTCCAGAGAAAGGCTGTATTAGAGAATCCAAAAAAGAAGAAAGGACAACAAAATGACAACCAAGATGATGATGACGATGACATAAAACTGGAACCGAAATCGGAATCTGATGTGGATGTGTCAGACATGGAAGAGGAAGAAAAGAAAGAAAAAGTTAAAAAAGTAAAGCCAGAAGAGAAGAAAAATGTGGCAAAGAATGAAACCGGCTTTAAAAGCAGTGGGGCTAAAACTCTTGATTTTAGTTTACCTGGTGAGAATAATTACCAACAATTACATAGTAAAATATGAACTTAAAAAACTGATTAATTAATTATGAATGATATTCAGACGAGGACAGTGACGATGACGCCGAGGCTCTGTTCAAAAGTAAGAAACCTGCCGAACTTGGGGATGATGAAGACAACGCTGACTTTGAACTCCTCCAGACCAACTCCAACTCTAGTAAATCTGCAAAGAAACCAAAATCAAAAGCCGCCCTGGCCAAGAAACTCTTAAAGAAGAAGATTCAAACAAACAAAAAGCTCACATTTGACGACGTCACTGGCGACGCTGTACCCGACATACGGCGAGAAAGACAGTCTGCCACCGCTAAGAGTTACGATGCCGAACAGGACGTGGGTGGCATTGATATTGAACGGGTCAAAGAAATCATGAAGGAGGAGGATTTCTATGATAAGCAAATATTTAGAGAGAGAATTCGTGCCAAACACAGGTATGCAAATGGTTGTCATATTTAAAATTAATAATAGTTCTGACCGGTTTTAAAATGATGAATTATTTTTCGCAGGGAGGAACGTCTTAAGAAACGACTCGCCCGAAAAGGTCTCAAAAAAGACGATGACGCCGAAGGCGACGATGGTAACGAGATGGGAGTTCAACTTGGCAATAGTGACAACGAGGAATCGGACGACGATGGCCCTGGTCCAAATCTCGGTTGGCTCCCAGATCCCGACCAAATTTATGGTGAAAGAGAACAAGACGAGGACGAGGACTCGCATTTCGAACCTGATGACGAAGATGATGACGACGACGACGACGAAGACGCCTACCGTAGGAAGCGACCATTGCAAGTAGTTAACTCTGATTCTGACAGTGACGACCAAGAAGAAATTCCTCCAGAATTCAGCCAAAAAATTAATAATAGCAAACTTAAAAATAGTAATGTTAGTGTTGGTGGAAGTAAATCGAAGCGAAAGAAGTTAATGGAGAAGGCAGGTTCCACGCTAGACAAAGGATTAATGGAGGAATGGGCACTAAAACTGTTGACTAATTAAATTATTTACTAATGTAACTCTTATATCTGAATTATGAATCGTGCTTACTTGCATAAAATTATTTTTATTTAAACAACTACTTAAAATCAAGATTTATTTACCATACATTTTTTAACTGGTTATCAAATTCAAATTCCATATCCCACAACACTGGGTGTGAATTAGTGACGAGAACAATGACATATTGGTCATGTTCTGCCGCATGACTTTTATCGTGATCGTTCGACCGTTTCTGATCTGCTTCCTTACTACCAATCCCAACGACAGTTGCATTTGTGAGAACGGCCTTCCCGAAGGATAACGTTTCGTTTTTCAGATCGTTGACGAGACCTTCCGTGGACACGGTGCACTCAGTTCCGATGGGGAGAAGGGCACAGTGACTGGAAGACAAATAGTTTAATATTTATTTTATCTTAAAAATTCATCTAAAAAATTGCTACTTTTCTATCAAATTAATTTGTCAAGATACATATCTTGCAAGTTCACAATACATTTAGAAAATTTAAACCTTAATAATTTTGAGCACCTGATCTTAAGAAACTCATGGCCTCTCTCCCCACACTTGATCTTATGCCTCCCCGCTGGCAGGAGGAACGTTATCGAGGACGAGCTAATCAAAAATAATTGTGGCTCCTTCTTCCCAAACTTGTACAAAGTTTCCACATTTGCCATAATCTGTCCGAAACGACCCGATGTTTCACAGTAGGCCAAAACCCTCGGAATCTGCAAGGAGCTCAAGCGTTCCCCGAAAATCGGTAGATTAACGGCCTGCATAAAGTCAGATTCGGATGACGACTTCTCCTCGTGATGGAAGTGGACGATTTCTACGACATCTTCGTCTCCATCACCCAATTCTGAACCTGGTCCACCCCGTCGACGCAACATTTCCAACGTGTCTCGCCTTATCGAGTCAAAATTTCCACAGACGACGTGAGGGAATTGGACAAGATCGGGGAACTTTCGCGACAGGAATTTCCAGTGGTTGCCCCCACCGTCGACGAGCATTCGCAACGAGGCTGTTTACATAATTGTGGCTTGTGTAAATTAGTTGATAACTGCTTATCAATATAATTTGCATAAATTACCTTCATTCCACAAACTCAGGAACAACTCTTCATTCAGGACTTGTTGGTTGAGGAGGATGATGGCATATTTGAGATCACACCCGTATTTCGAGCGAGGAACTTGTCCTGCGACCACAGCACTTTCCACGACTTCCAAAGGGTTCCAGTCATACTGCGGAGAAGATGTTGTTGACATTTTTCGAAAATTTGTCAGCAATTATTCCGACAAAATTGTCTGTATGGTTATTCCTTAGTCAGGAATACGATAAAGTCATTAACTTTTAACTGTTTGTGATGTGCCGTGCAAGCTAGGTACATATGTCTGTAGCTGTAAAAAGACTCGTTAATGAATATGCATTAGGAAAACTAAATTAGTAATGGACTCATTTAAAAGTTGAGTGCAAAATGCAAAGTTAAATATACGCAGTAAAGAAAGATCGTTATTTTATGCATTGCATTCTACCGTCCAAATTTTAGAACCTCGGCTTTAGTTACATAAATAAATATTATTGGTAAGCATTTACCAATCCATCTGCTGCATTGTATTGTCAATTGTGCCATGTCGTGCCAGATATCACAATTGTGCATCCGGGCAATTATTCCGGTTTTTGAGGATCATCATCACCTCACCTTGTTACAATATTTCGGCAATGCTTAGCGCTGTGCTGGTTAACAAAGGCTGAGTGACATTTCAATCAAACAAATTTTATGTTCAATGGAATGAAAAAAATTATCATTTTAGCTTTGTGGAACATGGAATTATGGAGACTCGCTTTTTGCATGCTCTCCTTCATGAATAAGGGGTGATCCATAAATTATGTCACGCTGAGGATGGGGGGGAGGGGTGCCAAGCATCCGTGACAAAGTGTGACATATGGGGAGGGGGGGTTCGGCCGATCCGTGACATCACGTTTTCTAGGCCTAACTTAATGCAAACTTTAACTCAAATTTTAATTCTTCGACTATGACCAAACTACAGTTTCGCAATTATTTAGAAATATTTGTCCAGCCGAATATCAAATGCAACTTCAAATGCAAAACTTCAACCAAGGTTTGGATTTTATGATTTTCAACCAAGTTTCTAAATTTTGTTCAAGCCTTCAAATAATTTGCACAATATCCAATTGTTTGTAAATGTAAAAAAATTAAAATTCATGATGCCATAAATAAAGTATAAAGTTTGCATAATTTCAAAAAATCATCATAATTTTGCAGATATTCATTCAACAATTAAAAACATTACTAAATCTCCAAAAATTTGCACAATTTAAAAAATTCGTCCGAAAGAACCATATAGTCATAGTTTAAAAAATGTGTACTAATTGAAGACAGCTGCATGATTAAAAAATGTTAACAATTAAAAAATATATAGCAATAAATGAAAAATTTGGTGGACTTTTTCAACTTATTTGAAACTTTTGAAATCTAAAAATAATAAAAAATTACGGGAATTTTGGAAAAGGTTGTTATTTACAAATCTATAACGCTATGACTTTTCACTCCACCAAAGGTGTGATATGAGTATAAATAGAGCTAAGAATTGTTTCTATCCTGTAAATTTACACGGGTTTCAATCAGTTATTGAGGAAATATTTCGCTTCAACCGCTATTTGCACTACATCTTCTATGAAAAAGGCGTGGCTTCATGAAATTCGGTAAAATAAAGTCAATTTGTGAATAAATAAATAAAAAAAATAAAACTAAGGCGAGAGGCGCTATTACAAACACGAAACAAGCCCTGCCACCAACACCCCCGTCTCGCCGTGGCCCCATTAATATTTTTATATCTGGGGGGTGTAACCACAGTTTTATTTTTTGTAATTCTTTCCTGCATCATACAACAATTAAAAAAACAATAATGGGGGATATATGCCAGCATGGGTGCATATCATTTTCGTGATAATGTCATAAAATTGTCACACAAATGTCGTAAATCAAACTACGAAAGCTTAATTTAACTCGTTTACCAGAGCAGCTAGGTCAATTCCAAAATTTCTGAATGCAGATTTGGAATGTATTTAATTACATGATTGCCTACGTTAAAAGCTGGTTTTAAGAAGTCAATATTTCATTTTTTTGTACGGCTGTTGATGAACAGAGTCCGGGTATATATTTCCCAAACTTTTTCAACAATACCGATGGATTTGAAACTTTAGGATCTTGGTTCTGGTATAGATTTTCTTTAATCAAAAATCTTTAATTAAAAAAATGTTTTTATACATATTTTGTCGATTTGATTAAACATTTTACACAAATATTTCGGGGTTTTTAAGAATATATCCGGACTCTGTTGATTAATGCAAGACTACATACTATATAAGTATTTAAATTGAAATTAATGTAAGAACTGCAGATAATAGGTTTTAAAAGTGCAATGCAATATAAAATTGTAATATTTATGAATTTAAATGCAGTTTACATTAGTAGTTAAAAGTTTAAATCATAAATTTCGGTTACACCCCCCCCCCCAGATATAAAAATATTAATGGGGCCACGGCGAGACGGGGGTGTTGGTGGCAGGGCTTGTTTCGTGTTTGTAATAGCGCCTCTCGCCTTAGTTTTATTTTTTTATTTATTTATTTTAGGGTTTTTAAGTGAACAATTTTTTAACCCCGACATTAAAAGATTATACTTGATATAGCCCGAGTTAGGAAAAGGAAGTAATTATCACCCAATCGAATTTTTGAAGGAAATTTTATCATAAATGCATTTCAACATTTTTAAAATAAAAACTAATGGTCCTAATTTAAATTAACATTCTTACATTAGTAGCGATTGGCAACATATGTAGCAAATCGGTATGGGTGACCTCACATACCACCCCTCCCGTTGAAAAATCTTACAATTTCATTTCATATTCTTTCCTTAGAATCCATTATCAAGCCCCATGTCAAATTTCTGCTTTCTAACACAGTTTTTAAATTTTGATGTATAATAAGTATGTACGTCACCCCCACCAGTTCAAATCTTGTTTGTACCAATATTTGAACTCGGTCGTTGCATTCTCGAGACACATATTTGTACCAAATTTTGGTCAAAAAATCGGTCAACGCTTGAGAAAGTTATCAAAAGATAGACGAACGTAACGATTATATAAGCCCTGTCTCGGGCCATAAAAAGAATTTCTTTACTAAAGTTGCTATGGATGTAACTGAATATAAAAAATTTCAAACCTCCATAGCTTCGTCATTTTTCATCCCATTTTCATGACTCTAAAGAATGATCTTAATAATTTTTTAAGCTCTTTCGATTTTCGTTTGCCGATTTTTCACTTTCAGCGGAATATTTTGAGATGCAGGAAAAAAAGTCACTAAAATGAGAAATATACCATGAAGGTGTAAACCGATTAAGCCCAGAGATCTATAATCAATACTACAAAGAATTTACTACCCATTGGTCAAAACCGCATGTCTCTACAACGTATGGTTCTCTCACAATCTTATCTGACTGTTTTGAGGTGTCCACTTAACTGCATACTATGGCTTCGCCGTAACCATGCACGTATTTTTTTGGGTGCATGGTTACGTTTGGGTCTCGCCTTAGAAAAAACCCAGGTGACACAGCACAAAAGATTCCCTTGTGAGTTCTGATATTACGCAATATTTACTACGCGCCCCCCCCCTTTTATACGAATATGCATGTTATTCTTGCTAGGTATCGGAAAAATTCAGATTTTCAGGCGTGACGTGACAAGAGGGGGGAGGGGTCACGACGAGCGTGACAAAGGCGTGACAACAGGGGAGGGGGGGGTCCCAAAAAAGGGCTTTTTTGCGTGACATAATTTATGGATCTCCCCTAAATAAATTTTATTTTCAGGATCTCCACTCTTCATTTCTAAATAAAAAAGCCTAAATATGTATACTAAAGTTGTAAGCTGGACTGGGTAGATTGTGCAGCACATTTCATTACTGAAATAAACCCTCCAAACGAATGTAAATAAGTAGCGCCAGACCGATTCAAGTTTCCTTTAAAGTTTCCGTATATGACCTCGTACCAACGATCATGAGGTCAAAAATATTAACGTCCTTGAAATCGCAGTCTAATTTCCTTTAAAATGATTCCCCATATGACAAATTATGAATCTTTTGACCTTTGACCTCGTCCTCAAGGTCATAAGGTCAAAAATATTAACATTCTTGAAATCGCAGTAAAATTTCCTTCAAAATGATACCCCATATGACAGTTATGTATTTTTTTGACCTTTGACCTCGTCCTTAAGGTCACAAGGTCAAAAATTTTAACGCCATTGAATTCGTGGTGAAATTTCCTTTAAAATGACACCCCATATGAAAATTAAAGTTAAATTTAATTTGGACCACACCCCCTGGCGCTGTCGGGTGTGGTCCGATTGACCCAATTTTCGAACTCGACTGAGAACTAAAAATTAGAAGCACAATGGCGAAAACGGGGTTTGATTATATTGACTCGTTCTGGAGATATCCTGCTTACAGACGGACGGACGGACGGACGGACGGACAGACGGACGGACGGACAAAACGATCACAATAAGTAGCTGACGCTACTTAATAAAAATGTAACCTTAAAACGTAACATTTCGCATATTCTTCATTTTAATTCAAATTTTCCTATCTATTTATATTTTATTCCATCATGAGGAATAAAATTATACCAACTTCTTGGTATAATTGACATAACAAATGTAGTTAAAAATAATTGTACATTTAATTTTACGTCCAAATCCACAAAATATCAAAGTTATGTAACATGAAACTGACTGAGGAAGCCTGAGCCAAATTTGGGACATTTCGTATGCATCCGTAACAGAATTTTATCTAAAAACAGAACTAGATCTTTCAAAAATGGGTAATAAATCTCAAAACATGCTTTATGACAACCAAACCCACTAAAATTGGAGCACCCACCTGGCAAGCTTAAAATAATTGGACCTTTGAGAAAAGTGGGCAGCCCAACGTAAAAACAATGATGATCGATGACCATGAATCTTGACGTTTCCTTCCACAACACAGAGCCATAAATTTTACGACCCACCCCAATAAACGCTCTGCATTTGCATCTTTTCCTCAAGAAAACTTTGTTTTATTTACTGCCACCTCAAAGTTTAATGGAGCATTGTAAAATAAAATAAAATAAAATCTACTCCACAAAACGCACTTTTGAAGAGCAGATGGTCCTCGGTGGGGTCCGAGGCGTCTCAAAACCAAAGGTGCGTAGGAAGTGCATTCTATTGTTCCTGGTTGGTGCATATTATTCAAATAAATTAGTGCATGCCGTCGTCTCCTCTAATGGATTTCCTTAAGAAGTGCTTAAATTGTTGGTTGGCTGGTTGGTGGCCGGGTCCGGTGTGGTTCTTAATGACTCTTAAAATATATGTGTGTATATCCTCCTAAACCCGCATAATTTATGGGGGCCATGCTACTATTATCTGCAAGTACAATATTTGAGGTTACGGTGAGATGAGCACCACTGCGACGGACGGCTGCGTTCACGGAGTATGACTTTTACTAATTGTTGCTGATTTGTATACGACGACCGACGTGGGCATATTGTTGTTGTACATCTTCTTGGAGGAGGAGGAGGCAGGACTTCATTGTATTGTTGGTTTTCTGGTAGTTTATGATTGTTGTGGCGTGTGAATGTGTTGGTGGTGAGTTCAGTAGCTTTGTAGACGGAATAAGAGGCAAATGCCCCCGGAATCGGCGTGCGTGGTTTCGTTGTACGACTATCATTTACCTTTTAATCTTGTCTGGATTTATTTAGAATTAGTTGATTAAATCGAGTTTAAAAATAATTATTTTAAGTAGGAAAACATGAAGGTTAAAATTGATAAGCAGTGTCCAACTCGTTCCCGCAGTTCATATTTTTATCAAAGTTTTTTAGTGCCGGTATTATCACGCCGACAATTATGCGTTCTCATCACACCGAGTTTGTTATACGTTTTGACGCTGTGCAGTGGTGTCAGGAGTGACGGGATGACAGAGTTGAAGTACGTCTGGGGAGACGCTCTGACAGATCCGGAAGCTTTGGGGCCTGATGGAAAACGATATCCATGGTGGATTACTTATTAATTTATCAGGTTATAATTTCTTGGTGAAATTATTATTTGTTTTTTTCGCAATTAAGGGACACAGCGACACACATTGCAGGAAGATCTTCGAGGATGCCACGCTCCATTTTAGAGGAGGACGAATTACCACCTCTTCTCACACCGGAAGAGACGAAAGCCGCCTTACTGGCAATGTTCCGATCTGACCTTGACGCTAATAGTGGAGAGTCGTCGTTGACAAATTCTAGGAATTCGCCGGCAGTGAGGACATATCACAGACAAGTAATAAATACTTCGTTTGTCGAATTGCCAATTAATAATTTTAATAAAATAATGAAAATGAATTCCTATTGAAATAGGGTCGCAGTGAGACGACATCTCCCCCATCTACCACATCCACCACTTCTGCCCCAGATGGTGGGTGTGTCCCAACTCGCCTTTGTGAGACGACATACAACACTACTGCACCGATGTACGGAATTTCTCTAACCTCGGGGAATCCAGTGACAGTACATACGTTTAGTATTTAGAAAATGATAATGTGCCAGTTCTGATGGGCTCTTTTTGATTCCAGATCGTACAAAAATTTCCGGACCTATTGCAACAAGTTGTGTATCAAGTTTGCAAGTGAGTTGATGATGGATTACTCCATGAAAGATTTTTAATTAATTAATTTGTGACTTAATTTTGAAAGGTCCGAGGAATGTGACGTGATTCAGGGAGAATGTGTTCAGACGTACTTGCCTTATCTGTTCCTTGTGATCCCGTTGGGACCTGTGACGCTGACTGGTAAATATTTCTTGCGCAAATAAATTTTTATCATAGTGTTTCAAGTTTCTAACAGTTAACTTAATGTAGGACAAGATTATGTTTTGGTCGAAAGTGGATGCACTTGCAGGCCGAAGTATGCAAAAAGGGAGGAAAATCAGCCACCTATCCCCTTCATCACACCCTTCAACACGACAGCATCGTCCGCCCAAAATAATAACAAATATTCCTCCAATTCAAACAAACCTAGGATCAATAAGCGATTTTAATGATGGCAATTCTCAATAAATAATGTAATTACCAGAACATTTTAAAATTAGTTTACTCATTTAGAATTCTTTCAATCGCAAAGAGTCCGTAGTGCGCGAGCCGTTCCAGAATTGGAAGATAAATATCTCTTGTCAACGGCAAGATGACGCCGACTTGCTTGATTTCGCCTAAATGCAGGATTTGTCAAGTTACATTAGTCAGATCAGGGAGATAAGGATATTAATTATTTACTAAACAACACCAAATTTTACCATTGAGCATCATTTCCGCCCCGATACCCAACGTGTATGCTACGGTTTTTGCCATGGCTGAGTAGGCGTGTGGTGTCGTGGTGGGGGTCCTATTTATGGGTTGATTGAAATTAGAGTCTCGATTAGATTGGAGTGGATCCCCGTACACGATGAAATCAATCTAAATTCAGATTTCGACTTTTAATTGAAAATATAGATACATAATAATTCATGAATCGGAAATAATTATAATTACAAACCTCTCGAAATTCTTTTCTCCCACAGACTGACTCGTGACTGGAGAGCATGGGATATTTTGCTTCCAATTCGTGATGTAAGATTACGACATCTTGTTCTCCGTTTTCTTAAATTAAATTAGGCAAATAATTACGTTATTGGAAAAATAGGAAATTAAATTAGGCAAATAATTACGTTATTGGAAAAATAGGAAAAATATTTCGAATTATATTACTAAATTGAAGCATCCCTTCTAAGTGGTTGGCTAATGCGGTCAAAGGAGTACCAACTTTTGGTACGGCCGTGTCCTCAAGTAATCCGAGGCTGGTTAATGTTTCTATCTCTGTGGGAGATAGGACGGTCCGAAATGCGGAATTGGCATCGTTGTTTCCAGTGGAAAGATTTATATGAAGAAGGGAAGCAATAAATTCACGCTGAAAAAGAAAAGTGTATTATTTCGTATCACTAATAAGAAGATTGCTTTTTACAAAACATGTAAACACACCCAAGTCAGTGGAGCTTGGTTGACATCAGGGTCCAAGAAATCGACCGCGTCATCGCTAAGAAGGCCTACCTTTATCAATGTCTTTACCCTCTTGGAAAACTCTGTGTATCTCAACGTCCCTCTGATCAATGTCCGGATATGCGGTGAAAGTCCGTATTTTTCCAGATACACTAAACTATCCCGATTCGGGTAACCCTCCAATCCAAGTTCTGGTAGGAAATGGAGTTGCTTCGTCTCGTCTAGAATTCCACCCCCACGCGGAATCTCGACAACCTAGGCAATTCATCACTTAGTAGTCAAGAAAGCTGTCGTTTTTATTTTCAAAAATCAAATCGATGTGTGCATGTACATACTGATTTATTTTCCAAAAATCTCGCCCCGTTTAGTAAATTCCCTAAAGCAGTTTTCGGCGCCCAGGAGAATTTGTATCGAAGGTAATTGTCCCCAGAACATTCCGGAGCTGGGAGTCCACCACAATACGAAACGAACGATACGATCTTTTCAGACAAGCACAAGAATGCATTCATTTATGTAAATATGTAAATATACATGCAATTTAATTAATCAAGTAAAATTAGTCAACCTTTCCTTTCTGCTCTTGAATTTCATGAATGCATTTCATCGCCAGTAAATGGTCTATCCCCGGATCGAGACCAAGTTCTCCCAAAATCAAGACCCCATTCTGACGTGCGTCATCATTCAAAGCGATCAGCTCATCAGAGTTGTAACTCGCGTGGAGCATGTTTACGCGGAGATCGATACACGCTTTTGCAGCCTTGTACATAAATAACCTCTATATATATTTATGAATTTATGAAAAATAGTAAACAAATTTTGTACTCTACCGGAAGATGCATATCGTTCGGTAGGAGAGAAACGACGAGGTCGCATTTTCCCACGAGGTCATGCAACGCCTCAGCATCCTCTTTAACATTGATGACAACTGTTTGCAAGTTGGTGAACTGTGTTGCCAAATCTTCAAGCTCTTTCGGTACCACGGATGCTAAGTAAATATGATCCCATCCCATTCAAAATACAGAAAAAAATATTATAATACTTTGCGTGACTGATTACTTACCCACAGTGACCAAATATTTCTGGGTGGTGGCACAAACTCGGGTGAGAAAGTGGACAAGACACCCACTTATGTAGCCCGAACCAAGGATAAGAATTCGCTTCATGACGACTCCAACTGAACACTTATTCTGGTCAAGTCGTTAAAAAGAGTCGTGTCACTTTGTCAATAACGTCGTACATCAAGTGGTGGCAGGCTCATTATGAAATGAAACTTTTCCAATCACACAAGACGAAAAATAATAAGTATGCGAGGATTAACGAGAAAGAGGAGATTAAGATTTTATGTACTTGCACGAACAGGCACCATAAAAAATAATCCAGAGTGTAAAATCCTCACGAGAATGAAACAGATCTTCTACATTATGAAGCTCAACTGCTCATTCTGAATTCTATGAAATGACTGAAATGTAGTGTCATGTTACTTACAACCAATAATAACGAAATTGCAGCGAGGACTAATTAGTAAAAATTAAAAATTATGCTTCCGTTGCAAACAGACGAGTTGCTGTGAAATTGCACTGTCTACTGTGCAAATCATGAATTCTGTATGACGCACACTAAATAAACTAGCTTGCTTTTCAGAAAGCAAAAATTTGTGCTGCTTTATTTAAAGTAAATGCATCCCCGTATCAAGTAAATCAAAGAACTTTGGATAAAGCACACGATTTTTTGTGCTCTGTTTTGAGCATTCATAAGCGAATACTTTATATCGAGTTTGTCATACTTTATCCAGAGCATAGTCGTCTCAATCTGCTTTAGATAGAGTAATAGTGAACCAGCGAAGATGCTCCCTCTGTTATCCCAACCCAGCCACTACAGTCCCAATCCATCTTTTGACTCGTCTGGTTGGCCGTTGGATTCTTCCCCAGTTTATTTTAATTTTCCAATTAATAAGTAAATTTATAACTGAATTAACCTTCACAAATTATAAACGAAATGGATTACAACGAAGTGACTCGTGCACTAGAAAAACTCGGCTTGGAGCAGTATATTAACGAGTTCAAAAGTGAGCCCTTATTTTTTGCACATTTTTGGTCATTTTGTGATGATCTTGTATGCAATAATATTGCTTATATTTATACAGGAAATCTTATTACTGACAAGGCCTTCGTTCTGCTAACTAGAGAGGATTTGGTGGAAATCGTCCCTACTCTTGGTCATCGACTTCAAATATTACGGGCAATTGATATATTAAAAAGTGGTCAGGTATATTGTTGTTTCAAGTGTAGTTTAGGCTTTCCTAGTTTACAAGATTTGTTAAATCACTTGAAAGATAACCACAATATGACCGGCGAAGGTACTTATAACTGTGTACATTGTCAAAGTCTATTTACTAGGAAGGCATTTATCAGACATTTAAAAAATATTTACAAGCTCCATAAAAACTTATTTAAGCCAGCTACAACCAGTGAATTTGATATCGCGGACAAGGTCGATCAAATAGATAGGTTAAATTGTACTAATCCAATAGACATTGAAGATAATCCTACGCATGGTTTGCAAGTTATTTTGTCTGAGATATTGGCCAGTATTTTGAAGTCAGGCAAAGTTCCAATGAGTACGTCGGATCATATCTTTGATAATATTAAGAAATTTACAAGCACGTTATTATTAGTGGCTGGTAATTTAGTCAAAAATATTGTAAGAGCAACTAAGTCTGATGACGAAAAATTATGTGAAGTTTCAAGTAATTTTTCTAATCTAATGACTATTTTTAGCCCTTTTCAATCACGGTACCAGTTGGATAAATTCTTAATTCAAAATGAGTTTATGATTCCCACAAAAAACATAATTTTAGATACGGACATTTCATTTTTGCAAAATAAAATCTCGCGACAGCAGATTTATAAGCCAATTTCCATGCAATTTGTCCCAATGAAAAGTTCCATTCAACAACTTTTGAAAAAGCCAGGCTTTTTTTCGTCTCTAAATCGCAGTAGTTTCTACAATTCTGAGTATTTTTCAAGCTTCCGAGAAGGTAAAATTTCGCAAGCCTTCTCCGAATTAAAAGAAGTAATTTTTGTAAATCTTTATTATGACGAAGCAGAAGTAGCAAATCCTTTAGGCTCCAAAGCTGGAAAACACAAATTGTCAAATTTTTATTTTTCGATTATTGACACACCTCGCCATTTACAAAGTTCAACCGACAATATTATTCTTCTAGCCAGTATAAAAACCGAAGATTTTAAAACATCAGGTGCAAATGCGGTTTTAAAGTGCATTGTGGATGAATTGAAGGAATTGTGGCAGGATGGAATTGATTTCAAACTGAATAATATTACAATTAATGTCAAAATTTGTTTAGCTCAAATTAGTGGTGATAATTTAGGACTTCATGCGCTGTTAGGTTTTAGTGAAGGGTTTACAGCAAATTTTCCATGTCGTAGGTGCAAAATGCACAGATCAGAGTGCCAAACTGCGGTTGTGGAAAATCTTAACAAATTTAGAAACACTTCAAATTATGAGAGTGATGTAAATTTGTGTGACTTATCTAAAACTGGAATTAATTTCAGTTCAATTTTCAATGAGTTACCCTATTTTCATGTAACAAAAAATTTGGTTTTCGACATTATGCACGACTTACTGGAAGGAGTGGTCCCAGATTTTATGGTGCATTGTTTAAATCGCTGTATAGCTAAAAAGTACTTTTCATTGGACAAATTAAACTACCGAATTGATAGCTTTGATTATGGTCGTCATTATCAGAATTCTAAGCCTTCTCAAATTAAGCTGAATCATTTAAAAGCAGAAGTTAAAATAGGTCAAAATTCCTCTCAAAGTTTATGTATGGCCCTCTGCTTTGGGCTTTTAATTGGTGATATGATCCCAGAGGAAGTATTTATATCCTACTTAATAATATTCTTGTAATTTTATTAGCTGACAAAATAACTGGAATAATTTATTTGGAGGCAATTATTTCTGAATATTGTCTTAAATATCAACAGCTCTTTTCCAAGTCACTCAAACCAAAACATCATCATCTCCTTCATTATGGAAAGGTAATTGAGCAGATTGGCCCTCTGAAACAATTTTGGAGTATGACATTCGAGTCAAAACATAAATTTTTCAAAACCACAGCGCATGCAGTCGGCAATTTTAAAAATATTCCAAAATCTTTATCCTACCGACACCAATTATCAAGGGCTTTCAATTTGCTATCTGTTGGCGAATTTGCGCAGCACTCGTTTGAAGTAATTAAGTATGATTTTATCCAACTTTCGTCCAATAACCATTGTTCGTTACTGTGTGATCGCTTCCTTAAAACCATTGATCAGGAAATAAAAATATCAAACTTAGTTGCTCATAATGGGTGCGAGTTTAGGATTGGTAGCGTTGTACTTTTAAAATATTGTGATATCAGTCCTGTTTTTGGGGAAATTCAACTAATTATTTTAGAAGATGACGATTGCAATTTTTTAGTTAAGATTATAAATAGTAATATTGACTGTGTCAAATGCTGCTATAAGGTAGAGGTTTCGGATTGTTTTCAAATTGTTGATGTTAATGATATAGAGTATTTTCAGCCGCTATATTATATGTCATCGTTCATTTTTAACGACGTCGGTAAATACATTGTTCTGCCTATAAAATATTTGTAAAATAAGTTGCTTTTAATTACCTAGCAAGATTCAAGATCTCAAGCCGTGGACGACGAGAAATCAATTTTTAGTGCATCGTTATTAGACGAGAAAGAAATGGAAGATCGTGGGCTGCGCTGTGTCGGATTGTTTGAAAATTCTTCGTTCCAGCTAACGCCAAAACGAAAAGGAGTGCGCAAAAATCCGGTAAATTAAGACAATTTGAGATCGGCTTACTTAATGTGATAAGTATTTCCATAATATGTCTATAATTAATGTAAATAATATATTTATATATTTGTGTCTTTTATAATAGAGAGTCTTGCAATTTACTCCGAATAAGACGGATAATCAGGATTTGATGGGTTCACGAACTCCAGCAGAATTTCAACAAGATGGTCCCACCCTTAATCAACAGAATTCTAATGCTGATATTTCTGGCCCAATTTCTCAACCAAATTTTGTTTTTGAAACTCCACCATTTGCGCCTATTCTACATAATGTTCAATATATACAGGTAGAATTTCAATTAATTTTGTTTTTGACATTGTTAAGTACAGGAAAACCTGTTACTGTTTTTATAGCTAAACAACCAAAGTTCTGATACGGGCAGAAACAACATCTATGGATTTGTAAGACCCAATTAGCGTAATCTAGCGAAAACCAATGGGCTGAATAATAATAATTATTTTTTTGTTAATTTCCTCATAGAATATAGAGGAAATTCTTCTTGCGGATGAGAATGTTCGTCGCATCATCAATTCAAAAATTCCGTCCAACGGCTTCATCCTCCGATCAGATAGGCAAGCTATAGCTGGGGTTTTGATCAAAGAAATCATACGATGTCTTGGCACATGGTATCAATAATATCAATTAATTTAAATGCCCGAAATTGTTGGTATTATTGACTTGGTTCATTATGTATTGTATTCGATTTTTCTAGTCCGAGCAAAAAGGCGATGGAACAGTTGGCGCGGCATTTGGTACAACGGTACCCTAGTTTTGGCGATCCACGACGCCCTGAAAACGGATGGGAGATGTGGTTTTTCCACACTCATATGGCCCCCTCGGCTACTGGATTTCTCGAGGAAAGGCTCAAAAGTCAAAGAAAGAAAATGAACGCTAAAACGACTCCAATTGTAGATATCGACATTATATTTGGGGAACCGGCTTTGTGTTGGGATTCTGATAATGAGGACGGTGAGTAGTTTTTAATTGGCTAAATTTAACTTATAAATTAATTATCATAGTTTATATCGAATTCTGCAGATAATCCAGAGCCAGATGAAGCTAAATTAGAATTTATGCGACAGAACGTTGGAGTTGAAGTTAAGAAAATGATGACGGAAACTGCATTTCAAAGGAGAACCATAATTCGAAGACATTTTGATGAGTACCATAAACAGTTGGATATTTCAGCGTTGGCGAAATTGGCTGAAATGATGCGGCCATTGTTTGATACGGAAGGCATGGTAAGTATTTGTACAATATTAAAATTAGATAAATTGTAAAATCAATTATGTCGGCTTTTTTATAAAAATGGTTTACTATTGATTTAGATAATTCAAGATTTTAATATTCGGCATCCATCAATAATGCTTGTATTATATGAGAGATGGCCCAAAGTTGCCAAATTGTTAGTGGAATACGCTGAGAAAAGTGGCGTAAAGTTATGTAAGGTCCTGGACATTTCTAAAAGTCGCTATGATTTTACTAACGGTACTTTTACTAAGAAAATATGGGTTTGGCATGGGACGCAATTATAGATTGATTTATTTTGATTTTAGATGACTATCAAATAGTTGGATACTGCCTCCTCCCCTTCATAATGCCATCCACTGGACGAAGATTAACACAGGAAGATGATGACGAAATCGATGAAGAATCGAGCCAACTATCATCTTCAAAAAAGGCAAGGAAAGACCCAAAGAAAAAACGAAAACTACAAGCTACGGTCAAGGCTTCAGATTTGGATGCACTAAGGAGTCTTATTTTATTCAAGCCGGTAAAATTATGATTTATTGGCCTAAATATAATTTGGGAGGTTTTTTATTATTACAATTTTCTCTTGCAGAAGTCAACAAGTGTAGCGGAGGTCATCCATTTAAATAAGAAATTGTCACCGTTTATCTTAGCTTTGGGGTCTACGATTAATTTAGAATTTGAGTCGTTTTTTGTAATTCTACAGAAGATCGTCATTCCGTGCGGCGAGAAATTTATGAAGGCATTGGACACGTGTTTCAAGCTTTTTACGGTACTTTATATTCCATTACCTTTAGAATCGTTAGATTTGTGGATGTTTATTGTTTATGGGGTGGGAGGTAAACCATTTTCTCGAGGTCACATTCCGCCAGTTGTGCAGTCTTTAATTGGACAGATTCTTCCAAAAATTTAGACTTTATGCTCAATTTTTATTTAACGCATAAAAGCAATGTTATTAGTAAAGTCAACGGTCTGAGTTTAAGTAATTTTAAGTAATGTAGTTTTATAATTTTAATTACTCAAATATTTTATAACTTGTAATACCATCATAACAATTATTATTAATGATTCAGGGTAATTAAAATTAATCGCCCATCATAAATAAATAATACGTGCTTGATTGGTGAACTTTATTTAATGCATACCCTTTAAAGCATAGCCTTTATAAAAAGTAAAATGCACTTGATCAAAAGTACATAGTTAAACTCCATCTAAAGTAAGCTCGTACCCCGAATCAAGCTTGCATTCACTTCATCTACAGCGATAGCAGTGCTTCATTCATAGCTCGCTGAAGTACTTCAGTCAAAGCAAAACTGGTTGCTTTTATGAAGTAAACCTTAAATTTGCTTGATATGGGTGAAGGGCACTTTTTACTTCACGAAAAGTCGTTTTTTGCTTTAGATGAAGCGGTTTGTTTTTAGTGTGCGATGATGAATTTGACCTTTTGGATTTTTTTGCTACCTATGTACATATTTATTTAGTGGGGGTCACTCTCCGTGAAAAATGGTGTGACCTCTTATCAATCACACCCTTGTTAATTAAATACGTATGAAAAATAATTTTCCACAACACAATTACTGGACGTATACATCATGCCCTTTAATCAAATCAAATTTTAGTCCATGAAATTTAAGTTCATTTCATACCAGATTCCGAACCACACTCCTTTTTCATATGTAACAATGGAAAAATGTAAGAATAATATCCTAATCAATCATCACGTAATTATTATCCACATTATGTATATAAGTAAAGTATCAAAATTAAATTGGCGAAAAAGTACGTAAAGTAAATCATTAAATATTTTGGACAGTGAATGAAATCAGTAAGTAATCAATATCAAGTAATAATCAATCGCAGTGAATAATTTGCAAGTTGAACTATTTAATTGGCAGCATCAGGAGCAGGCGGAGCAGCAACAGGAGCAGCAACAACGGTACTTGAGGTCGAAGTTGAAGAACCCTCCTCCGTGGCTGCCGTCCCCTGTTCGACCTGAACGATTCCGGCTGGTGCGGCTGGCTGTGCTTCTGGGGGTGCGGGCACCTCAATGTCTGGGCGGATTAAAATCTTGCCAACATTTTTCCGCTCGTGCATCCTCTGCATGGCGGTGGCCATCTGAGAAGTCATAAAAATTAGTTATTTATTTACATGGAGGATTAGCTACTTGTAGATCTTTAATAATTGGATTACACAGTTTTAGTGGAAAAAACCGAAGAATAAGTTTACATTATTCATTATCAAGACGTGCGTAGAAAAAGATGGGAAATTTGTCACAATGATTTTTTGGAGAAATAAGTGGTTAAGTAGTTTCTGGAGATTTAGGAAAATGGTTATCATATTCGTTACCTGTTCAAAATGGAATGTCTTGTCCACCACGGGATGAATTTCCTTCTTGGTCATCAACTCCCACACGTCCTCGCACGTCTTTTGCACCCGCTCGGGACACGCTTTTAACAAGCTACGAAGACGGAAGCCACCAACTAGTTTATTCTCCTCGAGTAACTTCATGGGGGGAATTTTCTCAACCTGGGAACATTCATCAAATCGAGTCATAATTTATTTCCCTACTTTTTGCCGTAACTTTGAGTAATTTACCTGTGTCCACCAACCCTTAGCCACGGTGAAAATCCCCCTGTTCTCACCAGTAACAACGTTCCCCGTTCCGAATAAGATATACGTCCCCAACGGAGCAAGGAGAGAAATACCACGGCTAATGTCATCCCCTCCTTGTGAATCGAATACAGCGTCAACACCGTCCGGATACAGTCTGTAAACATTTAAAAAATTAAAAAAATGTCAATCAAAAAACCATTCTCTCCCCTTACTTTTTAATCTCCGCCACATAATCTTGACCCCGAGGGATCAAGTGTTTGAATTCATATTTTCCTAAAGCCTCATGCTTTCCGGCGGATGCAATCCCGACCACGTTGATCCCTCGCATGGCAGCCAACTCTTTAATTGCAAGACCAACGCCCCCTCCAGCCGATTGGACGACCACGGTGGCCCCAGAATTAACCCCGGAACGGCTGAGAAGCATATGGGCGACAATGTAGGGCAACGTACAAGCCAATTCTTCCAAGGTCAAGGATGGCTTCGTCACTTTGAAGACGCAACGTTCATCGACAACAATGATTTCTGAGAAGGCGCCACTTTCTGGGAAGGCAAACACCAAGTCGTTGACCTAACAAGGACAAAAATTAAATGATTTGTAATCTCATTAACAACTTTGACCTTCCACTCACCTTGATCCTGTTCACATTTCCCCCCACAGCTGTCACCACCCCGATGCATTCTGTCCCCAGGACAAGCGGAGTTTTCAGGGAGGGTGTCACATCGCTGATCCCGAGACGGAGGAGGATATCTTGGAAGTTTACACCACTACAAAAACATTATTTCGTTGTCAGTATATTATGACACAGTTTAGTTTACATAATTACAATTAACCATTTTATTACTCATCAAACTCTGACTCATTCAAGAAGAGAGGTGAAAGGTCCTCAAAGAGAAACATTTACCAGTCAAGCTCGTTAAATTTAAATTGATGATGACTCTAATTTTTCAATACGTGGAAGCATATGCATAATTGACTCATAACATCACCATTACTCATTCATTAACTACCTCAGTGACGATGGTTGTTTGTGCTTCTCAAATATGTATTTTAATTTTTAAGCTTGTAAATACGACTGATGTTGTTATATTTTATTTTGTTAAGTAAACATTTACTTGCCAGAACGAGGAGATAAGATCGTTTAAAGAGCTATAAAAGATAAACACATATACGCCCACCATAAACAAATTTGTCCTGATGAAAAAAAAGATACGTAGATAAATAAAATAACATTTCCCAATATTACATATTTGCTGTCCGTCGTGTGTACACATTTTCTTGCAGAAAGTGTCGATGGAAATGGAGAATCAGACCGGAATGAGATGAGATGCCGAGAAATCTAATTAAGTCTGACTGGACTGACCCCCATGAAACAATGGCCTCACTCCCGGAATGAGATCCGGATCGATAATTATGAGTATCGATCCGAGCTATATATTTATTTATCTAACCAAGCAACAGGTTCGTCACCACCAGACAGCCACCACCTGTTCATTGACCGTATAAAATAACTGACCTGACTTTGACCTCGATCGTCACCTGTCCATCATTTGGGGCCGGAGGGAGTGGCTTTTCCACAATTTTTATATTTTTCAATCCTCCAAACGATGACAAAGTGACGGCACGAATCTTCCTGTCCGCATCCGCCCCAACGGGGGGAGTGGCAGTGGTCGTCGTCGTGGTGGTTGTCGCGACGGGTGCCGGATTTGGAGGAGGTTCCGCCGCCGCTGGGGCTGCTTGTTGTGTCGTCGTTTCAGCCTCAATTTCAGCCGCGGATGAAGAACCCGGTGCATTTCCTCCCTCCTCTGCTACCGTCTTCGTTTTAGTGGGGTCGGTCGAGGGGTCAGATGCTGGGGGAACAATGAGACAATTCTAAATTCTGGATGCAAACGCTTTACAACTACATATTTTAAAAAACTTACCACTTTTCACCACCTCCATTTCCACCTCCTTTTTTTCCGAGTCTGTCGTTCCAGGAGTAGGTGTGGTTTCGTTTTCATCCGTGTTCACCATTTTTATAAGATACAAAATCACACAATTTCACACACGTTCTTCAAATATCAAGACCTGACCGACAACTTTTGCTCTTTGTCAGTGATCCACAGAGTAGAGAGTGATCCGAAATTCGGGCTTTCTTTTCTCGCCGTATGGATAAAATTATTCACCGTCTGTGCTGCACTACTGTTCCAGATCTGGTGGCGACTGAGTTCCAAAATCTCGGCAGAGTGGATTGCCCACAAGAAAATATAAGTTGGGACTGATGAATCTGACTCAAGCCGAATATGTAATGGTAATGCCATCAAATTAACTTTGGTTATCCGTCCATCCGTCATTCTCCTGTGTGTGTGTTGGCCCAATGCTCAACAATATTGTGCATTTAGCCTGTGTACTCTGCTAATCATTATTATTAGTAAAGTTAGGTTGTATGTATCACTACCATGAATTGAATTCCGTGGTCTGTTATCATCCCTGTGTACCCGAACCTGTATAAGCAAATGAGTGAGTGAGTCGTCGTCCTGGTCATAAAATGTAATGCAAATCAGTCAAGTTTATAGTTTTTCGTTATTATTCAGCTTGGTCGTGTACATGGTGGAAAGCGTTGGAAGGAAGTGAGAAATTTGTGTAAAGTTTGGTCCGTGTTATTGTTAGTTGACTATACATGACGGACGGTATCAAATATTATTATTTTATGTTTGTTGATTTGATAATGGTATTTGTTTGGTGTACGCGATGCCATGCAAATAAGGGAGGATTTAGATTTCGTTTCAATGAACTATGCATAATGTCATTTATGTGCGTTTGGAATATTTTCTGGAAACTTGTAAATGTTCTTTTGTGTTTGTTGAGATGCTGATTTTTGCTAAATTTAAAAAATGCGATGTATATAGAGCTGGAAAAATGTCATAGTTGAAGGACAAGAGAACCGCTAATGGCACATATGTACATTCATGGTGACTTCATGCGACATGAATTTTGGCTTCTGGTTTCATCTTATCGCACAATGAAGCTAATTACGCAAGTCTTATGTAACATGAATCATGCCACTGGATGACCAGACGAGTAAGAAGAAAGAAAAAAATGTCCAGAAATCCAGCTCAGACTACAGAATTTGTTATTTTGTAATGTTCATTCTAGAAGCCGAGATATTTGAGATGTCAAATGCCATGCAAATTGCGAATAATTAGTTTATCGTCGTTTCTCATGAGAAATGCACAACTACAAAATATACATGTGTACATAGGCATATTCGTAAGGAAAAGGGCAAGTTAACCGTTGATTGTACATATCTAAATAAATATTCTCAAAAACATGTCGTCCGATGCCGTTGAGTCTAATTATATAAATAAATATTTTCAACGGAAGTGCAGATTACATACCATGAAATAGAAAATAAAAGTTGATGCCGAAACGAGAGTCTGTGTAAATCCGAGTAAACCCTGTTCTCCTCTCGTATTACGAAGGACAACATCACAATAAAGACGAAAAGTGCTGATGCTACAGGAGTGAATTATCAAGTTAATCGCTAAATAATTGCAGATTACAATCCGCAACATGATGTCGTACATGGTACTCATGTACTACATAGCTTTTGTTGTATACAGTAAATATTTGACAAACGTTAACCTTAATAAACTGATAACACTCTAAGTTGCACATTTAATTGCTAATCTGCAATTCTGCTAATGCTTGCACTACATTAAAAAGTACTGCATATTATTTATTTATTTATTACAACCGAAATTTGTCAAAATTTACAGCTTTTAGAGCAAGCGTAGCCTTCATTTCGTTCAAAAACAAGCCGTCCTGCCGACGCGTGGAGTGCGGATTGCGTGCACGGGTGAGAGGAAAGGGTTGTCTTTCAAAGAGGATTAGTGAGATTAAGCGGATCAATCCAGAGTAATTTTCATTTCCATGCGACAAGGAGGATATACTCGGCAAAACGATGGAGAGCTCAAAACCCGGGCGACCACTTGGTAGCGTTTAAGCGAAACGCTATATACGACTGGTTTGTATTAAGCAAGGCGTTTTTAAGCATCTCGCTCTCCCTTTCCTTCCAGTAAAAAACTGGAGCTATGCTGGAGCTGGAGAACTCTGGAGAAGGGGAACTTGAGAGAGAAGACATTTGTCGAGTGTAAACTCCGGGGAAAAATTTGACGGAAAATCCCGCATCCACGGCAGCATTCTCGTAACATGCATTTACGTAACATTCGTGCATATGTACGTACATGCAATAGCGTTTATTGGGATGCATGCGATTCACAGTACGAGGGTTGCAGTCATACTAGTTTCTTTGTGAGTGAGTAAAGAATGTAGAATGATATAATAGTTTTGCATGATATGTTGTGCTATGAGATGAGAGGGTTGTTTTTGAAATTTTTGGAATCTGCAGAGTTAGGTCAAATGACATCCTATAGTGGAGACTCCATTATATAGCCCGAGTCAGGCATTATTCTCATCTTTCTTAATTTTGAAAAGCATTGTGTAAGACGCTCTAATCAATAAATCTTTTCAAAAATTAGAATTTTCTACTTAATTTATACAGCATACCAAATTTCATTTACAGATATTTCCGACTAATTTCAAAAATTTTTGTGCAAAAATATTCTTGAATTTGATTTCATACTCTTTGATCTGATTTGCACTTGCACCTTCATGCAGAATTACAGGTTTATAAGACACTTATCTATGTACATAGATATGTATGTATTTAACTTATTCTAATATAGTGTAATAAATTGTACTATTACAATATGTATTTGTAATGGGAAGAGCTCGAACTAGCTTATTCATTGCCAGAAATATCAAAATCTTTCTTTGAATTACATAGGAGTTTGAAGTTTGTATCTCAAACTTTTTGAACCACTTATTTGTATAAATAAATATTTCATTTTTAACAATAATTGTAACTCGATCATCCTGCGTAACCGCACTCAGTCGCATTATGATCGCCATGGCGTACATATCAAGATTTTCCCCCGTATCATATAGCAACGCTTATGGCGACTTCCAGACGCCTAATTCCAGCCACCTCTAATGAATCGAGATCTTCCAATAATTCTTCTTATACTCGACAAGTCTGGAAATTCGTCTTCTCACAAGTGAAATCAATTTACATTCACAAAGCACGACATCGCCCCGAACTAATACTTACAATTAGGAAGGAAAATGGTTAAGGTTGATCCGGCCCCAGGACCACTACCTCCGGACCCTAATAAAATAGGACCTCCTCCAACACCCGGCCCTACTGAACCTTCTTCCAAAGAGGCACCCCATGCTAACCGTACGTCCAAAGACACATCCCATGCTAACCCCTCACCCCATCCTAACCCCGCACCCCAAGCTAACCCCGCACCCCATGCTAACCCCGCACCCCAAGCTAACCCATCTTCCAAAGACGCACCCCACGCTAACCCCAGAAGAAGTAATTTCAAAGGAGCTCACAAAGACGAAATTAGAAACAAGTCAGCCCCACCCAATGCAAGAGCCAAATCGATTCGACCAACCATCGAAGAAGAAGAGCAAGACGAGGAAGAAATTGACCCGCAAGCAGAAGCAGAGAGAAAGGTATCACAAATCCACGCCACACATTTCAACCCAGTTTCCACTATAATTATTACAAAATAAAAATAGTACAAATTGCATAAAACTAAAATGCACTATCATATTTATCAAGTTAGTGATGACTTTAATAATTTTTGCCTTCTACAGCGGCAGGCAAGAATCACCATGCTCAAACGTCGGCACCGTTGGCAGCAGAAAAAGTGCATGTTGCTCTCCTGTTTCATCGCAGGAATGGTAACCGGAAATTATAAATTTTATCCAATTAAAAAAAATAAATCTCATTTTTTCCTTCAAAATTCCTCAGCTGCTTGGCTACCTCTTAATCGGCTATTGGTACATCCAGTTTCAAAACTTCAACGAGCCTCCCACCCCGCACGGGAAAGACTCCACCTACTCGACCGTAATCTGCTGTGTTATCCTCGTCTCTGTCGCCCCGATCGGCTTTGTCATCCTGTCGTTTCGCATCAGTCACATGTTGGGCGGCATTATTGTGAGGGACAAATATTAAACTTTCGGTTTATAAAATTTGTGCACTGCTCTGATTTTTGCTTGAACCCGCAGTTCATGTTCTTTACGATCGTCGTGATATCATTTGGCGTTAAAGGGGTTGCACGCTCGATGTACAGCAACTCTGAAGATCGCCTCTTTGAAAATATGCGGTACGAAATGAAGCAACATATCAATGTTAGAAAACATATTCACCATTTCTACAATCTCCTGCAAACAACTTGTGTAGGTTTTTAATTTAAAAATTCCAACATGACGTTAAAATAGAATTTTATACTTGTTAAATATGAGATCAAATCGTGGTTTGAAAATGTAATACTTCAATCCTAAGCTGTTAGCTTATGCAGATTAATTATCGCAAAATGTGGGTTTTGTAGGAATGCTGCGGACTGGAGAACATCGATCGCATCATGGATTGGCCAGTGATAACACAAACTGCAGACTTTCCAGGCGGATGTTGCATCAATCATAGAAAGTTCAATGTTCTCAATTCCTCGCAAACCTGTGGGCGTGGTGTGGGATGGATGTACAATAAGCGCAGGTTTATTTTTAATCACTCAAATTAGTAATTCACAATTTCACTAAAAATACCGCATTTTTACACAAAATCGTCAGGACTCCTGGGGGATTTCAACTGCTCCAGTGGGACAGTCAAATGGATTTCTGGAAAACGGCAAAGGGAACCAACTCCAAGAAATGGCAGACCAGGGCAGATTACAGATTAAACGATTTCAGTTCCAGATTTAACGACACTGTTATGAAGGATTTGATGAAAAGTTTAATTGAGACGATAATTGATGAGTTGCGAGTCACACGTGCGGGTGTCACTTCCAAAGGATTTTACAACAATGACACCCATGAGCTGAGAAAGCCGCAAGTCTTCACCGAGCTCCAGATCAAGTTTGACCTCTTTGTGGAGGAACTGTTCTATTTGGAGAACAAGGAGGGAGCACCTCCCGTTCTGAACAGGGATGAGTGGTTCTACTTCAAAATACCCGTGGACAGAAATAACTGTAAGAAATAAATTACAATGACACCCATGAAAATTATGTAAAATTGGGTATAATGTAATTCACTGTTCATTGCCCAATTTTTCAGCCATCTTTACAAACACGAAACCTCCGAAACGAATACCGCCCCCATTAACTGGCCCCACGAAGAAACCCACAACGACTATGACCATCCCTACGACAATCCAAACTAATGCGACTAC